TTTTTTTTCCCCTGATAACAGAAAATGAGATGTTCCTTCTCCAAACTTGTGAATTTGTAAGAGTATGACATGACATTTGAATCTTTCGAACAGCAAATATGTATTAATATGCATTAACAGGCAACGGCAGAGACTGTCTCAGCACTGATACTTATCAGACTCAACAGACTTCGTTTTCTCTTGGGGGTTCAGGTGAAAATGAATGGCACTCCTGGATTGACCGCTTTGAGTTAAAATTCAGAAAATGAGATTAACCCGTGAATAATAATATAAATAATCCGCTGACCAAGAATGATTTGAAAAAGTATTTACTCCTTTGGATCCTGAAGCTAACATCAACATTCGTGGAAATGTCCCAGAGGTTTAGAGCTTGAAAGAATGAAGCTTTTCCATCACAGAATCCTCCCACGGATGTCTTCTGGGGACATTTTTAAATTCAGCGTAAATATTGAAGCACAACATAAGTGCCTTTAAATGTGCCAGTCGTACTGGTGCAGCAGGTGCAAACTTAAGAAACGTTTCACCCACAATAACAGAAGCTGGAGGCTGAAGTTCCTCCGGCTGCTTGCAGAAATCTGGAGCTCCACTGTTGTGTCTAAACACAGCCGCCCGGGCGTCTCACATGACAGAAACCAGATGCTGAATTTTAAATCAGTCCTTTATAAACTTTTAGTAACATTACGTGGGCTATGTTTAGCTGTTTCTTGCAGCTTTAAAATGAGAGGCTTCGTTCTTAAGTTCTCCACCACATAGAAATAGAAGCAATTAAAGAAACAAAACACCATCTTTATCCCAGCAACAGCATAACACACAGTATGACTCCCAAAGGTTAATATGCTAACTTTGAGCAGGAATCATCTAATATAATCCAGTCAGATTGGTTTGTGCATGGATGTGTGTGTGTGTGTGTGTGTGTGTGTGTGTGTGTGTGTGTGTGTGTGTGTGTGTGTGTGTGTGTGTGTGTGTGTGTGTGTGTGTGTGTGTGTGTGGGTGTGTACAGTGGTGAGTGTACACAGCTGGTGTATGGACGGACTCCATGAAGCTCTGAAAGCAGCATTTCTACAAACACAAATGTACACACCGCATGGCTTTGTTTGGGGATCCTGCTCACTTTAGTCAAGTAGAGACGACTGCATGGCAACTGGCTGAGGATGAACACACACAGCTGGACGTAAACACAGAGGAGCCATCGAGGTTACGGCGCCCTGAGGGAGGGCTAATGACAGGGAGAGTAACCGCTGCAGCAGATGGCTGTCGCTAAGCTATAAGAAGCCATAAGAAGGCCCCTGTTAGCAAGTGGGATGTCAACGACTCGCTCTTGTTTGATTATTCACACCATTGCGCATATTTACACACGGTCGGGCAGCACTTATCACTGGAAGATGCTTTCTGCAGTTTTTTTTTCCATATTATGACCTAAATGTGGAGGAACAATTGGGAAGTTCTCAGAGAAAAACACCTTTTGGTTCGTCCAAGCGGAACAAGAAATACTTAAATAGAGATACGTTTCTGCTCTAAGGAGTAAGAAATGGAAAGCTTCAAAACGCAAAAGTCCTAATTTGCAGTTTGCGCTTGTTTACTGTAATTATATGATTTCAGTTTTTCCTTTTTTCAGAATAAAGATTGAAACAGATTTACCTCGAAATGTTTCTAGCTTAGGGCTGCACAGTGGAGCAGTTGGATAGCACTGTTGCCTTGCAGCAAGAAGGTCCTGGGTTCGATTCCCGGCCCGGGTTTGCATGTTCTCCCTGTGCACGCATGGGTTCTCTCCGGGTACTCCGGCTTCCTCCCACAGTGTTTGTCCTGTCTGTCTCTGTGTTGCCCAGCGACAGACCCTGCCCTCTGGAGAGGCCCTAAAGACACCTTTGTCCCTCTGGGGACAAGGGTGTAAGAAAATAGATGGATGGATGTTTCTATCTTAGGTTTTGGTACAAAAACAGTTGAAGCTTATAGAGCAAGATTAGGATCATGAGGTGAAGGACAGAAACAAACTAACATACAACATTTTGGATAGGAAGGCAACAGGTTGTAGATGTACATAAATAAGTTCATCAACAGAACAATGTAGTTATGATCGAGATCATGAACTACAAGGTTTGGCTTGGCAACAGAAATGAAAGGTTGAAATTACCAAAATAGCTACAGGATTAGGATTAGCAAGAAAACCACATGATAAAACTACACATTTAGGATTAGCAACATAACTATGTTGTTATTATAAGGATTGGCTACAGAGCTATTTAGGATCAGCGGAAAAAACAAATTTGCATGATCAGAATCTAGAAGAAAGAGAGAAATGTATAACAAAATGAGAGAGGAAAGAAAAGGAGACAAAAAAAAAGATTTACAGCACCTTTTTATTTCAGCATTCAGCAAATGAAACAGAACAGTGACCTTACAAAGCTCCTTAATGCCTCCATGAGAATCTGTGTCACAAGGGAGACACCTACTGATTGTTGAAGGGACTACGATTGGATCCACTATGAGCCAGCGCATTCACAGAGATGCTGAGTTGCAGCTGAAGGAGTCAGGCGTTGGTGTGCATTTGGAAACAAACAGTGGGCCAACAAACACCATGCCTGGAAAAGATCAAAGAGTTAAGCGATGTAAAAATAGTTTGACATCAAATCAAATGAAAGAGGATTTAAACGTTTTGTCACAAAGCGATTGACTTAGTTCTGGCACATGAAAAACACACCAGGCCCACCCGTTTATAATCCGATCCATCTTATGCTGACATGAGCGGTGATGATGCCGCCGTATGTCACAGTGACACGCTTCAGATGCTATTAAAGAAGCAAGAGGGGGGAAAATGTCTCTGTCACGCTGCTCCAGACTGGGACGTTTTGAAGGACGATTAATGAGTCAGAACATGAGTCACACACACACACACACACACACACACACACACACACACACACACACACACACACACACACACACACACACACACACACACACACACACCACCCACACATACACACACATACGCGCCTCTGATCACGGATGCATGGAACCATATTCTCCGGATGCAGCTGAGGGCACAGATCAGGTCGCGGAGTCGGGTTGCATAAAAAAAACAAACAAACAAACAAACAAAAACAAGAAAAATGGAGAGAAAGTCATGCAGAGAGGTTTTTATCTTCATCATCATCAGCAGCAGCAGGAAAAGGTGTTTGGGCAAAAATAACACGGAGGAAACGTTCACAGTGTCTCAAAGTAAACAGTGACAATTCAAGCTACTATTAATGGAACCATTAAGTCGGGGAGGAGTTGATGTTTGAACATGTGCCTCGTTCAGGAGGAATATGTGGATTTTTTTCAATAAATGTTTTGGCAAAACGTCTTTTTTTTTTAAAGGTGATTTTAAGAGAATTTACAAAATCGCAGTCTGTCATTGTTTTTAAGATAATTCATGATCAGTTCCAAAACAGCTTATGCATTTCTGACTGCTTGTAATTGTGCTGCTGTCACCTGCCAGGACAGTCTGGTGACATTTTTAAGCCAGTCAAAACGAAAGACCGGCAGGTGAAAAGGTTCCTGCTCTTGTGGTTTGTTCTGCCTCGTTTACTCGTCATCGCTCCTCTGGGTCAACTCAAGCCAACAGCCGGTGCCCACGGACTCGGTTCCTCCTGCCTGCCTGCCTGTGAGAAAATTATACATTAAAACCAAAAGTGTCCTAAACAACAACCCGACTGAACTTTGGGTAAGAGAGTTTTGTCAGGTTAGCCGACGTTTCTACAGGTTTGACCAACTCAAATGTGAAACTTTTCAAGACAATTATGAGTGAAATTTAAGACATGTGTCAGGACAGAAATGTGCATAACATGCACAGAAATTGGAGATAAATTTGCACTTACCCACAATGGATGTAAAAAACGCCAGCTGGCCGGACAGCAGCTGCAAAAATACAAAAATAAAAATAACCAGCACTCTAAAAAGTTGATTGGTGTGTGTGTACCTACGCACTCCTGATCCAGATCAACGCTTGGATGTATTTTTGAAGAGACTTTAAAACACTACGACAGAGGTTCAGGTGGAAATAACCTCAAGCAGAAGTTGGGAGAGCCAAGTGTGTAGCTGAAGTGTTTTTATTGCGCTTTCTAGCTCGGAAGCTCAAGTCCACGTTGTTTTTACACATCGCAGTAATTGTAAGTGGAAATTTTCCTCATCAGCACAAGATTTCTGGGAACCGACTGCATGATGTGCAATACTCTGAACCCCACAGCAATTTCAGGGCACAGTTAATGAACTGAGTGAAGGCGGTCAGCGTGGATTAAAGAAAGCGATCGACGAGCAGCTCAAACTCTTCGGGCGACTCGACCGAACGTCGTTCCTGGGGTCTCGGTTGGCTCAGTGGTGGGCGTCCTCCTGGCTCTCTTCGCCGCATCGTTCTCAACATCAGCCTGTGGCTCTGTGGAGGATCTGACATCAGAGAACTTAAGGAATATGAATAGCAATCTGAGGATTGTGCAGGATCCTGACTAAATTCCATCAAGATGGCATGAAAAGAAAGATGTATTACTGACAGCGCTGAAATTCAGCTTAGTTTTGAAGTCTCGCATTAGAAAAGGTTAGAAAAAACATCCTAAATCACTAAAGCAGGATAGTATATGTTCTACATTGGAGCCACGTTGTTTGTCCTCTGCAGCTGTTTTACTTTGTTATATTAATTCAAATACATTCCAATAATGTATCATCTACGCTAAATGCATCATTGAAGTTGCTGAAAAGATTAAAGACGAACCTTTAGATGAAACTTTCAGCTTTTAAAGGAGCTACATTCACCCCTCTGTCCAGTCCAGCTTAATTTTATCTAAGGGTTTATATTAGCTGGTCTACTAACTACAAATGTATTTAGTGAAGTGGTTTTTCACCCTGCTGGTACCATAAAAATCAATTAATCATCTATTTTTCTACAGAATGTGGAAACACAATTTGTCCCAGAAAAATCTGTAATTCCATTGTGCTACCAGAAGATGGCACCAACGATTCACAGGAAGAATCTGACAGAATTTATTCTTGAACAATTTACAATATAAATAATTGCGAGATACAAATCACAAGACCACGAGTGAAGTTATTTCTCTCATTTACACGAAAAGTGCTTTAGTCATCAGAAAAGAAAACACATGACGGCATCTTTATGATGCATCTGAAGAACAAAGCCAAGAGTCTTTTTGACTTGAAATCAACCGTCATCCAGCACTGATTTTTTTTTTTTTTTTTTTACAAAGATCAACTTCATCCGTGGAAAAAACTCAGCTGCGGAGAGAAACTGAAACAGACATTCCTTAAAACGAGAAACGTTCAATATTCCAGGTGTTACTTTAGTGATTCTGGTTACAGGTTCATCTCATCCACCAACAATAACATATCTACATTGTATAAAAACTGAAAGAATATAGAAACTATGGTAGCGGACAGTAAATATTCTTAAAGCCAGTCTGAAAGCAGCCACCGACGCCTCGGCTTTCATTTCTGCTGCATCAGGAGACAAATTTGAATTGTGACCTGATTCACCAGAAGTGAAAATGTTTTGCTGTAGGAAGGATTTGGGCCATGAGTCGAGGTTTGCCATTGGACTCTAACAGGAATCTAGAAGAAACCTGCTCTGAAAGAGGATCTGTCGTTTAAAGCATAGATCTGTCTGAAGTATTTTTTTATGCACAGATAAAATCCAGCAGCACACCAAGACTACGTTCCAGCAGCAGGCTTATCCAACCCAAATCGGACTTTTTCTTTTTTGGCCGTAAGTGACCCATGTCGAACACCGCCGTCTCGAGGGTCCAGTTTAGATACCGTCACCGAACAAAAGGTTAGATCTGTTCCACACGTGCTACTAAATCAGACGTGTCAGATTTTCATCTACAGACAGAACGGTCCGACTTTGATGTGATCATTTTATTCCAGTCAATTCCACATGATGGCGGGTAAAGTGGACTAAGTTAAAATGTAAAAGTCATTTCCACAGAGGTTAATGAAAGGGGTTTGAAATCAGACACTTTTATTAATGTGAACCTTTACACAGAATACCAAGTTATTTACTTTGCAGTGGCGAAGTTTATGTCCATTTAAACGCACTCGTAGCATTTTTAATTATCATAAATAAGTTGGATATCTCATGAAAATTCTCTGTTTTGTAGGGATAAAGTGCAGAGTACAGTCTTTTGCTGATGATGCACTTCTTTACATTTTATATCGGGTCAAAATGACAGAGAAACTGAATTCCGATTAGTGTCGAATCTCATCACACGTCTTCAAACGTGAGATGTGGAGCACATATATCCAGACGAAGGCTCAGATCAAGTTTTACACTCATCGATAAAACAGGTTAGGCTGTACAAGAAGAGGACAGTGACTTTAGAAACGGCTGATTAGCTGCATCAGTGAGTTTGATCCGATTCTGTTGATTTGATAAACTATGACATCATGACCACCGAGTTCTGCTCTAACGCGTTAAACAAACCACAAAGCTCCCAAAAGACAAAATCAGCCATCATTTTTAAAATATGTACATCACATATGAAAATCCGGGCAACATAAATTCTGCAGGCAGTGGACTGAGCTGAAACGTGTGTGTGTGTGGGTGTGCGTGTGTGTGTGTGTGTGTGTGTTGGACATGCACAAGTTATTTTACATTCACAGTTGCAGAAGATGGGTGGGTTATGGGAGAGCAGGTTGGCCTTATAGTCACTGAGAAAGTGAGAGGGTCATTCCCAGGCACACACATCCTCCAGGTTATTGTGTAGTTTAATGATAATAATGGTATCGATAATAATAATAAGATCCCTGCTTTCTTTTGCTGCGGTCAGAACTGACACGATCAACACACCGGGTGCGGTCTAGGTCCGGCAGCAGCCACCGACCCTCATTTCCTTGTCCACGTACTCCTGCAGCTGGAACTTTGGCTCGTCTGGTTCCTTCATGCTCCGGTGCTTCAGCTCTCTGGGATCACACACACACACGCAGACACACAACACGGAGTCAGAGTGAACACGATTAATGTCTGACTCGTGTGTTTGTAGGTTTTCTGCAAAGATCTCGATCATTTGTGCATTTTCAATAATCACAAGTTGGTGGAAAAGCAGCAGGAAGTTGAAGGAGTATGTGATTTAACTGGACAGGAAAAATGAGCTTTAAATAGAATAAAAGCACATGTAGAATTGTATTACTAAAGCAATTACATATTTCCAAAAATAAAGGTTTAAACAAATATTTCTAAACAGTGATATGGTAGACAGTGACATACTATGGGATTTTCTTAAGATGATTCAGATAAATATATACATATTTAGTTCAAATTGAAGTTTCGTATGCAATTTTTATATAACGGTATATTGAAGATATGCGGGACACTCTCAGACTGCACAACACATACAGGTCGCATAAGTGCGGCAGTGTGAACGGCCCTGGCAAAAAAATTTTAAAAAATCAGATTTGACAAAATATCGGAATTGGGTCATTTCAGGCTGGAGTGTGAACGCAGCCTAAGTTAGGTAAAACATTAAAGTGCTTTATTCTTTAGCGGTAAATGTAACAGCGACGCTCTGCAGGCTGTGTGCTTCTTCGTATAGGATTCAGCTGCTTGCATGAAAACTCCCCTCGTAATGCTGAGGCATAAAAGTGATCCTCCACACTTCCTTTATTGACCTGCCATTATTATACCAGAAAACGTTCCTCCTCTGTTTGCATCTATCCATCTGTGCTCCCTCTGAGCTGCTTTGTTGTCATTTTGAGCTTCCTTCATGCTACATTTGTGTCTCATTAAGAGCCTCCACACTTCCTTTATTGACCTGCCATAAAAAAAACAACAACAAAAAACGTTATAATTTCAGACTAATGGAGCTGATATGCCACCACCTCCTGAACCTTTGAGCCCTCATTAAGGGTCTGTATTTGGCGGCGCGTGCCAGCAACCCACCCGTGGTTACCGTGGAAATTATCTCATTAAGGCGCAGAAACCAGGAGCTTGATGAGTTTTTAACCTAATATTGAAAAGGAGTGCAGGATGCAGTTGTCGACACAGAAATGAATGTTTTGATTACTGCTTCGATATTAGAGCAGTGTGTTAGCTAAAAATGTGAATAAAAAATGGGTTATTTATTGTCACTAATATTCAGGGTACATTCCCCGGCTCTGTTTTGGTAGCTTTCTCGACACTGACGCGATCGGCGCGAACAACAAAAAGTGACAAAGTGGAGATTTAACCGTGACAGACGAGCGGCGCAAAGCCACGAAGCGGCAAACATGAGCTGGAGGACGAGGAGATGAACGGATCAGATTGGATATTCTGTATTTGCAGAAGGATTGTGGGCCAGACAGCGAGCCTATTATTGGCAACGACTCAGCATGCAAGCCTGTTACCATAACGAGGCTATAAAAGGGAAACGGCTCCCACACAAACTGCCTGACATTATACATTAAGAGAAAAACACACACACACAACACACACACACCACACACACACACACACACACAACACACACACACACACACACACACACACACACACACACACACACACACACACACAGTTGAAACAGTACCCTTTGTGCTTTTGACTTATTTTTCCAGCCAGTTTGATTTGTGTTGTTCAGTTAATCGGAAAAATTAAGTTGGTTTCTCAACTCAAATTTTGTTTTGCTCTTTGTTTATATCGTAAAAAAGGTGCACAATTTTGTTTTTACATCATTACTGCTTGTCATATTAATACGACGCCTATAAATTGCCCAAATGTACCGTTTGGACGGCTCCGGCGTCCAATCAGATTGTTTTTTGAAGCAAAATTAACCCTCAGTAGACCAACAGAAGGAGCTTTGTCGTCCATCGCAGATCTTGCTAGTGCGTCGGGATTTATGGACGTACCAGAAACACTCAGACACAAAGGTTTCAGGACTGATTAGTTACTTAAAACATTTTAACACCTTTAAATTGTAAATAAGTTTGCAGTCTTTCCAATCCTTTGAGATAATTGTGTTCTTGCGTGTGTCTGAATATAGTATTATTAAATATAACGAGTTTCTATATGTTGTAAATATGCAAACAGTAAGGTACATATTTTTTGTTTGCACCTGCTTTTTTCCACCTGCTTTAAATGAGCTTTAAATATGTGTAACATGCATTTTTTTAAATTTTATCTCGCTCAAATAAATAAAATATATGTAACCAATTCATCAAAATTATGACGTTAAGTCCCAGCGTTAAACATGGAGTTTGATCAACGCTACTGAATAAATATAGAGATATCAAAATGTTTCTACGACTTGGTGCAGCTCATGCTGGGATTCTGTCTTTGTGTGACTCACTTGGCCGCAGCGGTGAAGGCCAGCTCCACGTTCAGGCCTGATTTAGCGCTCGTCTCCATGAAGGGCACTCCAAACTCCTGCACAGGAAACACGACTGCTTTTAGCATGCTGACGGAAATCTGGCGAGGGGAGAAAATAACCCTGGAAATGATCAAGTCTTTCATTAATCCACGCTTTGTTTGATGGCGGGGGTTTAAAATACCTGCGGAGGCATGATGGAATTGGAAATTGGTGGCAATAACTCAGCCTCCTTTTGAAAACGTCAATATTTCTGGCCTCAAGCCATTTTATGCTTTCTTTTTTGTTTGTTTGTTTGTTTTTCCAAGCAGAGTCGATGAAAAGTCCTCCCAGGTACAGAAATATGATTTTGTGGAAGCCAAAACAGTCTTAATATTCCAGCTGAGAACGACGTCCTGACGTCTGCAGAGGCTCGGCCAGAGTTCCTCCCCAGGAATTCAAATTTATCCTCAGAGGTTCTCTGAGTGAAGCGGCCGGGGTAATTCATTTAGTAAGGCGCCGCCGTTTATGATAACAACATTATGCAGGGCTACCAAATGTGTTATTTAGCAGAATAATCATGAAGTGACACAGACTAAGGATGGAGCGCGTTTGTGCCAGAAGACGGAGCACGCCAGAAAGCTCTTGTGTGAATTGGAGAAGGCTCACCTTGGCCAGTTTCTCTCCTTCCTCTCGCTTCACCACCCTGTCATGTGTGGAGTCGGCCTGGAAAACACGACAACACGTGGTTGCTCTGATAGTCTCAGCACTGACATGAGAATAACGTGCAATCATACGCTCAACTTTATATTGCATTTTAGAAAATACCAAACCACATTTCATACGTGCAACTGGTGCAGATGGATACGTCTGAATATCACCAACTATGAGATTTTATTTCAAGAATTTGTCTCAAGCAGTAAAACTCCAAAGATGTATTTCACGTTGGAGTATTTTGGATTACAGAATACTAACATTTAAAATTCTCTTTCAATTGCTAAGCTACAAAAAATGAGCTGTCCAGAGCTGTCTGGACAGCTTGTGAAAAGTTCAGTGGAAGGAAAAAACACTTGAGAAGGATGTGAATGCAGTAACTGTTAAAGCAATGATCTGCTTAAAATGAGTTCAATAATTTCTATTCTGATGGCTAATATTTTTGAAGGGGAATTTTGTGTAGAGACTTCATAACCATTTTATTTACGGTTTTTGGTTGTTTTATTTTAGTTCTTAAAATGTCTTCCAGCTCCAGTGTGGCATGTCCTGTACAAAATTAAGGTTACTGTTTTAGTTGAAAATATTATAAAACGATATTATTGTTCATCACTATAATTTATTGGTCAAGTTATCGTCAAGAAATGTAATTTTATTGTTTTATTGTATTTGTTGTTATTTGTAGCTGCTACTCAGATGTCTCCAGGACAGTGTCTCTAGGCTCAGGTTGCTCTGTTGCTGTTTGTCCATTTCTGAGTAAAGTTCAAATTTCCATTTCTTTTTCAAATCAATGTTCCAGCTCTTTGGAGCGGAGAGGCACAGAACCGACTTTCTGTAGGTCCAGTGTGACGTTTCCACAGCAGGAGACGGTTTATGGCGCCCTCTGCTGGTGAAGCTCCACCGAGTTTTATCAAATTCAAAATGAGTGCAGACATTTTCAAGCTTTGTCCTGTTGACAAGCTTTCATTTTCCAGCTGTAGCTGCTCACTTTGCTTTAAGTACCAATTCCTGAGTGAATATAGAGTAAAGTAGAGGTGGACATTTATCGTACTGTTCATCATTTATCTTGACACGCTTCTCCTCATGACAAGAATTTGATTTATCGCCACAATAAATTCTAATTAATATGAATTAAAAAAATAATAAAATGCCCGTATTTATTTTTCCCTTGTTGTTCAGTCATTATATGATTTGTAATTTTATTTTTAGATGATTACAGATAAGCAGATCATTTTGGTTGGTTGTTCTTTTCTTTTTTGTTTTGTTTTTTCCAAGTTGGATTTTTAGTCCGAGAGAAAGTTTTCTACTCTATCAATAGTTTATATACAAAAATATAAAAAAAAATATGACTAAATGCAGTTACTATAATAAACTTAGTGATACAAATCACACTTTTTTATAACCCTTTACAAACGGATGGTTTTGTCTTGTGATTTTTATTGTTGTCACAATAGTACCAGAAAATATTGTGCTGAAACGTTGAAGCCCTATTATAAAGTATTTTTTTCAACCAAACTAGAAAAACTTCATGATTTTCCTATTTATTGTGATATGTGAGCAGTAAACCAATTTAGGAATTTGATTGAACAGTCTTTTTTGTTGTTGTTCACCAGTCCTCAGTTCTGTAAGACAACCTGGAATGTAAAAGAGTTTTATCATGAAATCCTCTGTCTCTGTGCTGCTGCTCCTATTGCACCGTTTGGTCACCCGTTTGCATTCACGGGTCCGCCTTGGCGCTCCCATTCTCTCCTCCGTGAGCCTTCCCGGCCACCCTCCGAGTCCATCTGCCCATCCATCTCCCAGTGTTGCCAACAAGGCCTCACCTTGTTGCCCAGCAGCATGACCACCACGTCCTGCTGGGCGTACTCGTGAATTTCCGTCAGCCACGCCTATGGGTGAAAACGGAGCAAAGATTAGGGAAAGAAGAGAGAAAGAGAGCCAAAGGACGAACGGGGGACGGCAGACGGAGATAGCGGTGATGAAGAGGAGAGTCGGGGATGAAGGCTTGTGCGGGAGAAGATGGATTGCTTCATGAAGGGAAAGACAAATAGAATTATTGTTGTTCTCTGATCAACAATCACAGACTGTATCTCAGTCCGTCCATCTCCTCCCAATTACAGAGTTCCTTTGCTCTAGTTAGAGTCTTTGGTTTCCACTCACTCACAGCTCTCTCTGGAAAGCTTCTCATTTATTTGTGGGCTCGACCTTTACGTGCAACCCTTTGAAATGCGATACGAAGCATAACATGACCGCGTACTTCTAACCCACAGCAAGTAATGACAGATTTAACTCTAACAGGACTAAAGACAAAGACAAATTGTTGTAGTATCTCCAGATCTAATCAGTATTGGTCCAGTTCTTCGGCTTGCATGACATAATTAAATCCACATGGAAAAATGAGTGAATGCACTTGGAAATACTCCACTGCACCAGTTCAGGGACGGGTGAAGTGTGCTTTGTATGTTTCGGTATATGAGACGAGACAGAAAAGGATGGCAATGCAAAGAGACGAGTAGCTATGGCAACTAGGATGTCCAAGAAGTTTCAGCCTCAATGGAACAATGTGTTTGTTTGGAGGCGCACGAACAAGGAACCGAACTCTGATGCCGGCCAACAAAGTGAACTCGGTTTGTAGGCCAAACCGACGTCTGTCTGGTTGAAGTGAACTCTGATGCAGTTCAAATTGCAAGCGGACTGGAGACCACTCCCAAACCGAACCACACCAGCTGAAAAAGCAGCGATTATGGAACCCAACAGAATCGGATCTACTGGGCTATCGGGTGTGAAAACACTCTCAACTCCAATCCAAGTATTGCCCACGTTCATTTTCAATGTGAAACAACCTTGGGGAAGTTATCAAACTTGTTTTGTACCAAACCATGAGACATAAAACTATCTGAGAATCCAAAACAACAAAAAAAGGAAATGCAGTCAGCATCAAGCCCACTCTGCCTCTGCAACGCTTCCAGCTACTAACTAAAGACAGACATTCAGAGGTTGGTCTCTCCTCCTGCGGTGGGAGATTTGTTTCTGCTCGGGGGACTTGCATCAGGGTTCTGGTCAGTTAGGAAATACCACCCATCACTTTGCCTTAAGGGGCTTTCAAAATAATACTTTCTATGTTTGTAGTTTTGACAACATGAAAAATTGAGTTTGAGCCAATGGCCTCTGGAATTCTGAAAACTTTGAATCTTTCTTTCAGCCTTTATTTGCTGAACTTGATATATTATTGATGGCCAGGATGTACAACAGTCAAAAAAAAAAAAGGCTGGACTTTATTGTAGATGATGAAATATACCAGGGATGCATGTAAAAGTGGCAGGATGGTAGATTTTGAGGAACGGACTTGGACATCTCTTGAATTGACTATTTCAATATATGTATCTGACCCTTAGGCCACAGAACCAGCTGCAAATTCTGAAAGTTATGATCCAGCTCACAGAAAACAATCAATTAATCAGACTGACCAATCTGCACTATCACTCTGTGGTGCAACCTTAAGAGAACATCTCCAAAGTTACAACTTAAAGTTGTCTCGAAGAGTGGAAGAAAGAACAAAGCTATTTTAGACTTTTAGAGTGCAGGTAGTTTCCATCGTGACTGCAGGGCAACATTCAATTGTTTCTAGAAAATAAAAGCCAGAACGCTAAAGTTGGCAGAATATCTACCAATTAAAGACGGAGTTATCTCACCTCAGTTACGCACAACGCGTTTTGAAGTGTAACAAGGTAAAATTTTCTTTGGTGTGTTTCAGTGCAAGATTTTGCATGTTTTCATAAATCTAAACAGGTGTTTAAGCTAAAAGGAGATTAAAGACCTTTTTCCTCTTCCTGCTTTGTTTGGACCTTTGTGTCAGTAATTAGTCCTGAACAAAGCTTCTCAGTGGATTTCTGCTATCTTGATTGCAAATTCTGGGTGTCCGATAATTCTATTTGTGATATTAAATGCTTGAAACACTGAAAACTTCACACTATCTGCTATTTGTTCTTTGTGTAACTAACTTTCCAGCTGCTTTCTGCTTGCACAACCAGTTGGAGCCAGATGCAAAAAAAAAAAAAAAAAAAGACACTAAGGTTAAGAACCAAAAAAAGATTTCCTGGAAGAAGTTTTTTTTTTGTCTTTTTTCAGCGGCAGCCTTGGTTGAACAATGTGTGTTTTAATATGTCAGCCCTGGCGATACTTTCCACTGATGAGGAGGAGGCGGCAGGGACGAGCAGCAGTGTGTGTTCATAATGTTCAGGTTTGGGTTCACATCCAGCCAACAACGCCATGTTTACCTGAAGCCGATTAGGGACCAATTTGACAGTTTGTTGGCACGGTGACGAGAGGCGCAACAAAGTTAAAAACAGAAAGAGAGAAAAAGATAAAAATAAAACCTCTACCTCAGGTTGCCAATTACTCTGACAAAAATAAGGCCTAATAATCTCATAGTGTCATTGCCTTTACATAGTTGTACTGGGCTTTTATCACAGAGCACTGAGGAGAAACTAAAATGCCTTTTTTTAACTTTAGTGACGTCTGAAGAACAGACATCGCTGTGGTGGAATCTTAAGAGAAATATGCAAAACCTTTCCGTTACCAAGACACTATTTAGTGCCAGGATAAAACAATCAAACCTCAAAATCCTCAATGGATCTGATGTGATAGATAATAGATAGGCTGCTGAAAAGTCATCTGGAAGTTAATTGCACAAGAAAGTGGTACGATTTTGAGGGTTTTTTTGCTGCGTAAAAATAAAAATCTAAAACCTTAAACAAAACCAACCACCATGAAAATAGCTGAACAGTTTTCTTTTCCAGCGGAAATGTTTGTAACGGAGTCATTGGCAAAGTTCAAACCAGATATTGATCATGACCCAAGAAATCAACAAAATGTTCTTCTTCCAGCAGGACAACTTTAAACTATCAATGAGGATGAAAACACAATGATTACCTCTCCACACTTGTAGAAGCTGCTTAAAGAGAGGAAAAAGGGGCTTAATTTGTTATTTTGTGTTCCTGGAAAGATGGGCTTTTTCTAGTTAAAACTATCTGAAGGACAAGATACTAAATAATGAGTCCAACTGGATCCAAGAGTGCCCTGCTAAGGACTTCATTAACGTGTGTAATTTTCTGTTCATGGATAATGATGATGACGATGATGATGAATAGTTTGATTTTCTGTTATTATCCCGTTAATCCTATGCGAGCAGAACCAGGCAGGGAAGTTGAGTGTTGAAGTGTGGGTTTGTGTAAAAGTCAAGTTGGAGTCTAATCAAGCTATGGTGGTTTCTATTAAGAAAACCAGGAAGTACTCTGATTGATAACTGGGATCGTAAATTGAGACATTTGTTGCAAACAGACGCGACTGAAACATGAAAACGGAGCGTTCTCTAGCAAATGTTTGGATGTAATCACCCAGCTTACATCTACCGCACAGATCAAAGAAACGATCGTATTATTCCCGCAGAAGGTTCTCGATCATGACAGCCTTTCACTTTCAACACACGAAAATCTGGACGTCTTTTATTCGAGTAACCAAACGACAGGAGAGCAGACTTTCAAATCTGTGATTTCCATTTCAGCTCCGCCGGTTTCTGAGTTCTAACACCTTGAACAAAAAGCTTCAAACGCAATGTCTCCACCGGGTTTGAGTGCTAAGTTGCTCTTGTTCTCTCCATCTCCTCCATCTTTATGTAGACTGAAGGCAGAGTACTCTCCTGGATGATGTGCAGTCCACTAAAATGAAGGCAGCACTCAACTCAAGCGGAGACGGTGAGCTGAACAGAGGCCTGCCGTTACCATTTCAAGCATCAATAGGCACATATTGACTCTTGCTAGCAGGGAGCAGATGCAAACATATTTCATTGCTATTGAAAGAAACAGGAAAAAAGGTCAGAAGTTTCTCTTAAACACAGATTCTGTATAGTGTACACACACAAACACACTCACACTTGTCTTCCTCCAGTTTTCAGTGTGTGAATCATCAAAAGCAGAGCTCTCAGATCAGCAGTAATCCCTCCACCCCCGTGTGCAGGTTTACAGTATCCCCAGAGCTGTACATCGTTTCATTACACTGAGATCAATGGTGCGGAGCCCGACCCCACGCCCCCCCAACAACACACAAACCTGCCAATTACTCACGCAGTCTTTAAAGATCCCGGCAGCCTGGGGGTGGATTAGGTGAGAAGCGGAGAGGGAAGGAACCCCAGTTTGGGAGCTGAAAGTGATCCGACTTCAAAAGGTCTAGCTGTCGACACGCGGAGTCAGAACGCATACGGTATGAGGCGGGATGCGCCGAGGACACGTGGTCAGCCGGATTTACATGTGATGCTTTGTGACTCGCTGTCAGGTTTGGGACGTCTGAGCAGCTTCCAGTTCGAAACGTTGACTTTTGTGCACAGACAGACCAGAAAAAGAGAGAGAGAGAGAGGAATGGCCAGACACAGGCAAAGAGCCGCAGCACTGGGCCACCTTGTTGCAAGGCCTGACTATGAGTGACCTACAAAAGCGTTCGGGTGTTGAAGAAAAGTTCTGAAGTTATTGATGGCCAATTCTTGACAGAGATTTCAGGGGTTTCTAGAAGTCAGAAATTTACATATTGCTACAAATCCTCCATCCTTTCTGGTTCAAATGACTAAAATGGGATCTCGCTCAATGTTCATTCAGTTAGAAACTTTTTGTGTCATCATGGTGGGACAATGGAGTGACCCAGGCTTTGAGTGATTAACACAGTCTCTTTCCTAGACAAGCGAGTTTTATGGTAAATGGGAAAAGATGACCAAAGACTGTACCAAGAGACGAGTGGTGTGATAGGTCATTCGTAAAGTTACAGCAAAACAATCTTTTGACTTCTTGCAAAAAAAATATTAAAAATCTAGACCGAAAATTGTGTAAATATTGCAACTGACTGGCAATGTCACCTCCCTTGGAGACGCCCTGCCGGTGTTGTAAACATTTCTGCCTGCAGCTGGAGCAGAGTTTGTGGAGCAGAACGTAGGGATGAAAGGCGTGAAAGCAAATGTCTGTAAACATTTAGGCCGTTTAATCTTAAGGAGCACTAAAATGTGAACACCATATGGAAAAGACATTTGAAATGCAAAGCAGCAAAACCGATGCCAATAAACCCCGCAGACTGAGAGGACGTCCAGTTCTCTGTAATGGCTTTTCAATTTAGAAAAGAACTGATGGATAGAGGTTATGGTGAGACCCTGATCACACCTGTTTCTGTCACAACAACCCTGGGAAATGTCTTTCTTAAAAGTCTTCACACACTTGCTTCACGGTACGACAGCAACAGCTGTTTGCCAACCGTGTTTGTGAGCTGCCATTGCATGACAGAGTGAGAACTGAGACATCTGTGGCTCTCAGGGTGTTACTTTCAGGAAGTTGTGGTAAGATTTGGGTGGACCGCTATGAGACCAAGACGGACAGGGAACTTTACTGACAAAAGTTCTGAAGAGCTCAGTCGATACCGAGGTCAGGACAGCGCTGCAGGTAAGCAGCTCCTCACATCTGATATTTTACATTTCATAATCAAGTGATATATTTATATTTAATATTTGATGGCTATGAAAGGACTAAGTGCTCACTGAAATGTGTTGGCAAAAATGCCATTGTGTTTTTCATAACATTTGTTGAACATGTTTCTGCTGAGCAATTTTGCTGCACTAGTTTTGCATAGTATCATATGTCAAATGTAACAAAGAGCAAACTTTAAGGAAAGCTCAGCATCAACAAAGTTAACGTAATGAATCAAATGGATTTCTTTAAAACCATTTCAGAGTGTATAGTAAATCTTTTTCACTGCGGACTTCAAAAGCCACACTGAACCTTTTCTTAAAAGGGTTCTAAAATGTTCTCAAATTTAAACTTTGAATAAGAAGGATTTGTCATCATGAACCTTGAAAGAAAAGCATTTATCTACAGAATGTCATTGCTCATTAGAAAATGACATTCCTGACGTCGTTTGTCTGATGTACAATATTTAAGACGTGTTGCTGCTCCTGGAAGAGTCCCTGTTGTGAAAAGTCAGTGGTTTTGAAACTTTATCTTAAAAAGTCCAGATGGGTGTGTGCTGTTCCTCTTTTTAGATGTAAAACATCCTGAACACACCCCTTCCTTCTTCTCTATATGTTTCTCCTTAGAGAGTTCTTTACACACCCAGGTCCCACTTACCCAAGCAAGATGAAGAAATGCCCCACTGCTATTAATGGTGATGGAGATGTAGCCTCTGCTGTTCACAGCTCTGCTAAAATGAGAGAAAAAGTGTGTCATGTAAATACCGTCAGCATCAGAGCACAGAGCAGTGAGAGACCAGGGCCCAGATGTCCAACAACATACAACCACGTTCCCAGAGAGCGACCGAACCTCACAGTCTTGGCATCCAACGTGACCTTGCGCTCTCATCAGAGACGCTGGTCAGTTGACTTTTGTAAATGCCAGACACCGCCTGTCATCATGCTGAGGAAGAACAAAAAGGAACCTGACCCTCCTCAGCGCACTGCTTCCCTTCTGCGACTAGAGACATCCTCGCATTCGTCTTTCAAGCGATACTCATGCCCCCCCATTGGGATCTTTTCATCGACATCTTCCTCTTCTTCCTCCACCTCCTCCTGTTCTTCCCCAACTTCTGTTCCCACATCTGTCATCATCGGCCCAGATCCTTTAGGATGGAAAATACAACCCAAATCCAGGTTCAACTCCTCTCAGAACCGCACCAAGAGGCTGTCTCTGCAAATCCCTCTCCCTACTCTCCCTATCCCCAGCTCTCCAAACCCAGAACCTTTGTCTCAAACCAAACCTGCACTGAGACCCAAACCTTCCCGCCGCCACCACTCCGAGTCCTCTGCCTTCCTGAAATCTCTCAGGAAGACTCAGCCTGCGGTGACTCTTGAGCAGCTCCATGCCGTGCATCTCCGGCGAGTTAGCCTTTCCGATGAATCGGACGACGTCTTTGATGAGCCGGGTCAAAGCCAGGGAAAGGTGTCTGTTTCACCCCGGAAAATACCGCCCCCTGTTCCAGAGAAGACAGCCATGGCCAGGAAAATAGCACAGCTGATTGCTTGTTCATGGCACAGGCCAGTTACAGCCAACATCAACAAGATCACTGCGATGAAGCCAACGTCTGAACACTGGCAGAATAAGGGCCATAACAACATGTGTGCCACAAAAATGGGTGAGTTGCTCAAAGAAATCAACTTTTGCAATCTGGTAAAGGATTAAATTTGTCACCTAAAGCTCAGTGCATCATTTATTAATCGAGCAATCCAGCAAGAGGTGTACTGCAATGACTTCGATGATATAATAGATATAAAGAAACGTGACAAAATCCTGAGTGTGTTGGAAGGCCAGCAGTCAGATGGAGCCCCAGTTTTAGCTCATTCAGCAAGATAAAAATTATGTTTTATTAATGCGATTTCATAAAATAGCATTAGGTTGGTCTCAGTTGAAGAAACATCTGTGTTTGTATAAGACAAGGTGCCTGAATCCAGTCCTTGACAGCCATCATGTAACTTTCAGATTCCCTTCTGCTCCAACGCTTGTATCAAACCAGCAGTCATTTAGCTCTGCAGAAACCCCGTGATTAGAATTTCATTTGATTCAAGTATAAAAAATATGTTTGTCGATGCTACCGGTGATATCAGTATCTTTCAGTAGGGAGACCTAGAAAAGCACAATATGCAGAACCTTTTCAACCTATTTGAGAATTTCTTCGTTTTTTCCCACAAACTGACTGCAATTGATCTTTTTTAAACACGTCTAATATTTCACTTTTTAAAGCACTTAATTCTGAAATCTTCTATAATTTCAGGTCAATCGGTAACATTTATGAGGGATGAAGTGTTTTGCTTTGAGAACGCATAATCAGTAATACATCTGAGTTATACTTCTGAATATTTATTGTGAAATACACACTGAGAAAGCTGCTATAAATCCATTTTTTAGTGTGAGTTGAAAATTTGAAGATGCTGGAACAATGTTGGAAGTTTAATGTCAGTTTATTCGCCCACAAACGTCACATTATCCTATAAAGTCAAGTTATTTTAAAAATAAATAAATAAATTATGCATCAGGCAGGTTTTGCAGCTTGCCCCCACTACAAAGTGGACAGTCCAGAGTGTTTTTGATCCTAATTAACTTTCAATGATTTTCTTTAGGACGTGAGGAGAAGAAAGAGACGGGCCCAGCGCTTGAAATCGATGCTAACCGCATTAACTTTCTTTCAGCAGAGCTGCATCTTTATAACGTCTGCAACAGGAACAGGTGAACCGCACGCTTCCCCGGCCGTGAAATGCGAGGAGATGACTGAAGAGTCTCCTCCTCAGCTTCACAAATTACGACCGCGGGACGTGAAGCCCAGAGAACAAACTGTCCCCGAAGACGACTTCGCTCAAGTTTTCCTTTTTTTCATGGTTTTATGCTCCAAGGACTAATATTGCTGAAATTGTTGAAAACTAAAGTGTCTCATTACTTCAATATTTTACACTCCCCTCCCTAAATCATATGTGCCTCCTTGCAATTGCATTTGATGTTTTGTTTGTGAAAATTACTGGTGTGACTGAAAATGTTTGTACAGGCCCAGGTATGCAATTACCTTTGAATTAAACTTAGTAAAATGTGCCTGTTTCTATGCAATTACCTCATGTGAGTTGAACAAAAAGTCTGAAATAAAGATAATGAGGCGTCAGGATTTAACTACCGTTAGTCGACATGTCAGATTATGTGTGTGAAAAACACAGCAGATTCCGTTTATCATTATGAGAATATTGAATTTGTCCAGCAAAAATGAGCTTTTTATGAATACAATTTCAAACTAAATCCTGATGTGCACAACCCGAGTTAACAATAACTTTGACACCTCACTTCCTCGCGGGATCACATTTTTCTTCATAATATAATAGGTTTCCAGCTCTGGAAGGTGTAGATAACCGCAGAAATGTTATTAACACATTAATCCTCATCTACATTTTAATTCCAGTACATCCAGGACCCACTAACCCAGAGTGGGTGATAAGATTGTCAAGAACCGTTTTATGGAGGAGAAACTTGTTAATGAAGCTGCCTGTTGCCCCGCGGCTTCCTCATAAAGTGACAATGAAACTTTAAACAAGCTTCCAGAGGCGGTAATGTTCAAAACCTCTCCTCTGACTGAAACATCTGAGAGGGAAAAGCAGTCTCTACCTAAATATGGTGCTACATAGTGCAGCTTTAAGGTGAAGCCTGGAAGATTTCCTTCGCTTTTCAGCCTCGTCACCAAAATATTTTAGCTTTCATTGGTGTGGAAATGTGCTTGGAACATTAAAAAACACGGAACAGCGGTGAACCGTCCCAGGACCGGACGCCTTTTGATCATTATGTCTTACCGATAACGAAAAACGTAAAACTGGGCCCTACTTCAAAATTAATGTGCAATTCTGTGCATAAAGTAAAATTATAGAATAGTTTGGATGTAGGAAAAAAAATGCTTTACTATAAATCCATTCCAACACTTTGGAAGAAAAACAAATGATTAAATCAAATACATTTTTGAGTTGAAGAGAAGAATAATATACTGTTTCCAGCTTTTATAGTTAATTTTATCTATATGACCCTGAAAATGTACTTTGTAATCAGGGACAGGTTTATAGGTTTGAATACATTTTATGGCCTGCAGGCGCCGAACAGATGCTTCATGCTCTGCATCACTTCCTGCAGACTCCAACCGACATGTTGCTCTCTGTCTGCAGTCTGACAGCCAAGTGAGGAGCTTCTGCTATTCACTCGAAATCATACCGCGCTGTCGCTTCTCATTGTTGGCACGTCGAGGTCTAATTTACTTCCCAGACACCTTAATCGCCATGACAATCACGTGAAGAAATAGTTTCACATTCCTCCTCCTTCCTTTTTCGTTTCGTTCCTGCTGCTTAACCTGCCAGGCAGCTCAATCCTGTCCCAGGTGTCTGCGGGATCGTTTTAAAAGCTCGGTCAGCCGTGATTGCATGCTAAATTTTACAAAAGGTATTTTTGCCATGATTACATATGAGAACAGATGTTAGAAAGTATTGTCCGCAATCACCGAGAGACAGCCCATCATGCTAATGTAAAAACAGAAAAGGGGCCAGTAGAAAATCTTACGTCATCTCAACAAGCCCCCATGGATTGTTTCACCCTGATATTCAACAGAGGCATTTCAGCCGTTTCCTGATTCCTTCCATGTTTATTTTCATTTACTTTAAATTAAAATGAAATCAGAATATATATACAAACAATTACACATCTGAACAAAATTGATCAGTATCAGGTTAAAGTATAAACTCCCAGTTAAGGATTCTCAATTTTGTTTTGTTACAACTAAAATCTTGAATGTATTTTGAAGTTGCAGTATGCAACTTTCATTAAAAAAAAAAATAAAAAATTTATTTGTTGAAACTGTCGACACTGCGTGATGACAGACAATCTGTGAAAAAAATGAATAAAAAATGTTTAAAACTTGCTCTTCTGCCTTCTCCCAGTGCTAATTAGAAATAACCAATCCGAGCCAGGGGGCGGGACGTAGCGCTATCAATCATCCTCAGTGTAACATATGTAAAAAAAAATAAAACATTTCATAAAAAGTTACATACTGTAACTGTAATGGAGTATGTAATTAACACTGCAGACTTCTCCCTGACCCGTCTGCTGTGTTTCTCATGTTTGCTCACTAATGCAAACATTTAATATCTTAATAGAACAGCAGTATTTATAATGAGAATATTCTCTCTGTCACTTCTGAAGGCAACTGGATTGAACAGCATTTGTTTATCAAGGTTATCAAGGTAAGAGGAGCAGAATACAAATGTCTGCTACATCTTTTCCCCAGTAAGCATTAATTCTGCAAGCTGAACATCATAATGAGTTAAAGTGTTAAGTTGCATTTTTTTTCAGGAGGTTTAATATGAAACAAGAAGCAAAAATACCACATAAATTCACAGAAAACCCACTGTAAAATGCATTTCACCTGTTATTACATTTATTTGTACAGTTAGAATCATGCTGACAGTGACGGAGCCACTGTCTTGCTGTTTTATTCCTGCTTTTTTATTTGTATTTTTTTTTTTTAGAAGCAGGCTGCAGTGGCAGGCACTGACAGCAAAAATTGCTACTTTTTTATGCCACGACGCCTGGAAAAGAAGGACTGCATGACATGTACTGTGAAGCCACATTTTGGGTCACCAGCATCCATATGTGGGCAAAACAGGACAAGCTTCCACCTCCGATGTCTCGCCTCTATTTTCTCATTTCTCATTTATTCCAGTTTTCTAACTCCAGACACCTGGCTTCCTCTGCATCAGGGGTTCTCATACTTAATGTTCAAACTTCTAACCTTATTTCTAGATAAGATCTAAGGTTTGTGATTAGCGAATACATTTTGATTTGACTGAATCTGCTTACAAAGCAATAGACAGAAGGTTTTATGTTGAACAGTGAAGCATGATGGGAGCTTCAATTGAATAAAAAAATGCAAACTTAAAACATAACCAACATAAAGTGGCTTTCTTTACACACAGGAATAAAGGAAGTAAATTGAGCATAAAGTGCAAAAGTAGCAACATCAAAAAACGGAAAACTTCCCACGAAGCATTGCCTTTGTTAATGTACTGCTCAATGTGTTAATAGCAGAGGAACAACTTACCACTCCTGGAAAACGTTCCATCAGCAGTGTTGGTTTCAATGCTAACTAGCCTTAGCATTCATGGCAAGCACTGTTTTTTGGAACTAGCTGTAGTGTAAAATGGTCAGTTGCTGAGGCTAGTTAGCAAATAATTCAACGTGCTCATGGAGGGAAAACAACTTTCTGTTTAAGGAAAACTTTTTATCTGCCGTCATGCTAACTAGCCTTAGCATTCACGGCAGGCTCGGCTGTGTGGAGCTAGCTGTAGCGTAGCGGAGAGCCAGGAGGAGGATGGGAACAATACTCGGCAGGAGGCAGAGGAGCCTGGTATTTTCACAAATTATCCCTCTCATGTTACACTATCACAACGTAGAGATAGTTTTAGTGAATATTTCTACATAAGGGACATAACTGTCTATTTTCATAAGCAAGATCAACCATGAAGCTGAAGTGAATCTATTCTAGAAATTTTGCTGCGAATTGAGTTCAAGTAAATAACCGAAGCTTCGGAAAAAGCGTGAGTGAGCCGGACAGATGGAGTCCGAGAAGAGACAATGAGACGAGACGTAAGGCGGGAGAGGAGGAAATCTTCTTCCACCCAGCACGGCGCAGGCTGAACACGCTGACACTTATTAGTCTGCATGAGCACGGGGCGGCACATCATGTGAACATTGTGTCAGGATTTGTTTACCCAATATGTGCACGAGTTTGCATATGTGGGCGTTCAAACTTCTCTGCTTGGTTGGGCAGTACAGTCAAGAAAAGGCAACCCTCCCCGCATCCCCCCAAAAAGTTAGCATCAAGGCGAGACACTCTGAACCTGATCCCATCTCATTATCCCTGTTTCAGCTCACTGAGAGGCATCTGAGAGATGCTGAACATTTCCAGCTGCAGGATTTTGATTTTAGACAGTCATATACGTTCCTCTATAGGTGACATGTGTCAAAATGTTGTAGAAATGTTCCAACAGGTTCTTCTGAAACATTTGTCACATGTTTGTTCATCATAGTGTGGCAGTGTAGTCTTAGAGTAATCTGACATTCAATCATACATTTTAATAACTAAGTGTATTTAGGACCATTTCATACAGAGGGTGAATATTAATACTCCACACAGTGACAATGAAGTAAGTTTTGATATTCGTTCCATCAAGTACCAGCACATTAATATGTAATAATAGCCTTATTTCAGATTCCAGTATGCTTCATTTAAGATGAATGTTTTAGTAGCCATTAGTTATTTATGTCAACTTTGTTCAATTTATTCAATTATCTCCATTTCAGAAATTATATTTTATCAAGGTTCAGGGTTAGGTTTGTAGAAATTGAGATTTCAACTTTTGCGGGGTTTTAAGGCTGAAAAAAATGTGGGTGTTCATTTTCAAAGTTATATTGAATGTGTAGTGCAAAATAACACATGTGTACTTAGTTTGTGAACTAAATATTTACTTAGTTTGTGAACTAAATATTTCATATAGTTGTGAATATTTAGTTTACAAACTAAATATTTAGATCTAAAATAAATATTTATTTTAACTAAATATTTCTCTCCAAAGAAAATATTTAGCTAGCATGCTAAACACACGGCTGGTTAACAAATTATCTTGGTTGCTAACTAACTAATTTGCTTGGGTGCATGCTAAATATTTAGCTAATGTGCTAATTAGCGAGTTGTTAAGCAAAAGTGGAGTATTGAAATAAAAGCTGCACTTTGCAGACTTCCATATGAACTTTGCTGGAGGCACATAAACACATTTTTCTCTCTCTAAATAAACCAGAATGTTGTTTATTTTTTATCCTGCAACTTGGTCCGCCATTTTTCCTTCTCTCCCCTGCCCTGCCATTCTGCATGAACATTGATGGCGGCGGGCACCAGGTGGACATCACGTTGATTTCTACTGTGTTGATAAGGGAATATCTCAGAAAACAAATCTTTCCAGCTGCAGGAAGGTTTTCATTGCTTTATAGATTTAGTGATCTCCCTCCCCTCGTGGCCTTTGAGCAGGCGCATGTTGGTCAGTAGAATCCCAGCTGTATGTTTGTGCTTCCTGCCGCACGTCTTGAGGTTTTTGTTTAGTTTTTTTTT